TTGAAATAACAGAATTTATAAGAAGCCACAATAGTTCAGCAAACGCTGCTCTGGTTAGCTGCGGTTGGGACTGAGACCAGGGCCATGAGGAGTGACAGGCACCAGCAGCACCTCTGAGTGACAGCAGCAGGTGTGGCCTTGGGGGGACAGGCTCCCCACACATAAACCCCATGGCCAGCCGCACACCCAGGACTGGAGCCAGCAGCGCCAACCCAGGGGGGGTGAACAGACCGTCACCCGGCCACACAGCAGGGCAGGACCAGCAAAGTGGGCCAGCTCTGCACAGTTGCAAGGGACAGTGTGGACACATACTGGGGTGTCACATGAGAGGAAACAGAACAGGAGAAAATGCTGCAGATCCCATGAAGGCAAGGTGCCAGGACAGGGGACCTTCACCCATGACGGGGACAACCAAGAAAGCCATCACTCTCATGGACACACAGCCAGGCACCAGGGACCACTGCACACTTGACTTACACAAGTGTGTGTGCAGTGAAACTTCACTGAACTGCCCCGTTAAGATGCGTGTGTTCTGTGTGTCAATCCCACCACAGTACAAAGACGGACGCTCAGACCCAGAGCTCTGTGAGCAGGCTCGGCTTTCCCCAGAGGTTAGTTCTGAACATTTTTAAATACATTCTGGGTTCAGCAAATGAGTAAATGCATTAAAGATAATGGGGGTGGGGTTGTGGCTCAGTAGTAGTGCACTTGCCTTGCACGCGTGGGGCCCTGGGTTTTGTCCTCAGCACCACATAAAAAATAGAATAAAGGTATTGTGTCCATCTACAACTAAAAAAAAAAAAAGATAATGGGATCTTCTCAGTGTTGAGCAGGAAAAGTATAAATATCGAAAGGGACACAGCTGGAATATGCTGTGTGTGGCAGAAGTATCAGTATGAGCTCATGATCTTAAGAAGATAGACGGTGGGTGGGTGGGTGGACAGATAGGTGGGTGGATGGGTGGATGAATGGATAGGTGGATGGGTAGGTGGGTGGGATAGGTGGTTGGGTGGGTGGGTAGATGGATGGATGGATGGGTGGATAGATGGGTGCATGGGTGGACGGATGGGTGGATGGGTGGATGGGTGCATGAATGGATGGGTGGATGCATGGGTGGCAGATGTGTAGGCAGACGGGTACCTGAGTTTGTTCCAGGTGACATATGTAGATGTGTATGCACCTTATTTGTTTCTGTATCTACAGTGGTATGTTTCTGTCTTTCCACACACATGGCCCCTTCCGCCTTCCTTCTTGACCTCGTGGGTGAGCAGTCACTGTTTACCCTGCCCTGCTTGGTGAGTGCCGGAAGCACTGGCAGCACCTCAGCCGTGAGCACACCAGTGTCCAGATCCTGGTCTCTAAAACCACTTTTCTTGGCAAGCAAGCTGGTCCAGGAAAGCCCAAGAGGGGCCGGAACGCTCGTCCCAGGCAGTCGAGGAGGGCCGGGAATGCCAGGGCCAGAGCAAAGGGACATGATGGCTCCACAGGGCTCCCAGGGTAGGAGCTGGAACAACTCAGGAACAAAAGCCATTCCTAGTGGTGGACTTGAACCTACTAAATGCAACTTAAAATCACATACACAAGACTTCAGAATAATAAAAAATACAATAAAAATTCATAAGTCTTCAAGAGACGGGAAAAGAAGGAGGGAAGAGGAGAGAATAGGGAGAAGAAAATACAAATTAATAAATGTAGAAGGAAGATGGGGTAGTGAATTAGTGCATAGGAGACCTACATGGTCTCAAAATAATTTTGTTAATATGACTTATTAATTACAAGAGGAAATAGTAGCTTCACAGAGGAGGAAAGGAGTAGATCCCAACCAAGGGGTCGGCAGTGACCACCCTGGGTACACCAGCATTGTGTGGCTGGCACAGGACACACCGACAAGGCCCGGGGCAGCTGGCAGGCCGCCCACCAGCAGCGCACAGCCCTGGTGGAGGCCCGGGCCAGCAGCCGACGGACCCAAACCAAGGGGCGTCCGACAGTCCCTGGCCCATACTCCAGTTATAAGGGGCCAAGAAGGGCTGCAAGGGGCACCCAGAGGAGGTGACCAAGGGGACGTGAGCAGAGAGCATACCTTGTGACGGGCTGGACTGCCCTGGAGATAACCTGCCACACACAATAGTGCTGGCGCCCAGGGAGCCCGGGCTGGGCTGCCTAAGTGTGTCCACAGAGCTGCCCACACGGCTCCCAACCTTACACCCGCCTGTGATCACGGAAGACAAGGCGTGGGGAAGCAGGGGGACAAAGGACATGGCCTTCACCTGCACCGCGGGCTAGGAAACCCCACCCCCCTGCAAATGTGTGTGTGTGCGCGCGGCTGAGAGGACAGAGGGACGGAGGGACAGATGGGCGGAGGGATGGGGAGGAGAAGGGCGGGCGGGTGGTCTATGGAGGATCAATGACATCAAAAGGAAACGCGGTACAGGGACACGCTTGGTTCATCCCCGTTCCTGGCGCAGAGTTCCCAAGCCCGGGAGTCTCCCCATGGCAGGAGGTCCCCGTCCTCAAAACGCCTGAGTTTATTAACCAGCTGACTCGGCCCAGGGCCCCTAATAGCCTCAGGATGGGGTTGGGGGACAGAACTCCCAGTGTCCACTGCCCTCCAGGGGTGCTGGAGGTCCACTCTGTTACAATCCTCGACCAGATCCAGTGAACTTTGGGAGCGGGACCCATGGAGGGGCTGTGCGGGGGGCAGGATGCCCTCGCCTGCCCCCGCCTTGCCCTCCCTGCTCCGGTGTCCCTCCTCAGCAGCTGCCTGTCAGGAGCCACGGGCCTTCCTCAGTTCCAGGAGCTGCCTCCTAGCAAATTACCAGGCTGAGAGCCCTGGAACCCTCCACTTAAAGCTGCCCTCCAGAGACGGGGCGCCCTGGGACTGCTGTGGTCTGAAGTGGGGGGGCTCTCGGTCGGAGCCTCTCCCCTCTGGGGCCTGTGAACCCTGCAGTGAGTGTCGGGCTGACTGGAGTTGCAGGCACCCAGCTGCAGGCGTGGAGGGCTGACTGTGGTGTCCAGACAACACTGCGACCCCCAAAACATACAGGGCAATCAGAAGCCCTCCAACACTGTGGGGCCGGAACTGGCACAACCACCTGGACACCTTCTGGTGCACGCCACCCACAGCTGCAGACCCCACCCCACGGCTCTGCTCCCAGAGCCCAGTCTGACCCATCCCTAAGAAGTGCTCAGAGGCCGCAGGGCAGCAGCATCCACGCTAGCTGGAAACGACCCACCTGCCCATCAAAGGGGAACAGGCAAATAAACCATGACACCCAGTGGGAATTCCACCCAGGAACGAGTGTCCACGCAGCATGGCGGGCCTTACAAAGGGAGCACCTAGTAAGCAGGCCCAAGGGACCAGGACAGGAGGACAGTCTGGCCTCTGGAAAGCCAGCCTGCATGGAAGATGCTTCAGGAAGTGACATGGGGCTGCAAGGTGAGGGAATGGAAGGTCGGGGGCTCCCAGGCCACCACACCTTCGTACCCCAGGCAGGACCTTCTGCTTGCTTCCGCCTTGTGCCTGGCCCTGGGCGGCTGTGGGCGGCCATCGGCAGGCAAGGAACGAGCCGTGGGAGTGGAAGCGCCAGGCCTGCTGGCCAGACCTCCACAGAGCCACCCAGTCCTGCTCCACCCTGTGCAGGAACTTGGGGCCACTCACCCAGCTCACGCCCTCCCTGCAGCTGAGAACCCCGTCCTACCCCTCCCTGGGGTGGTCCCCTCCCCTGGCCCCAAGGAACCAGAGCCCCTGGAAGCCATTTAAAGGGCTCAGCATGTAGGATCCCATTCCCTGCAAGCCCAGTAGCCTGGAAGGACAACCAAGGGCTGGGCCGCATTCCTCAGGAGAGGCCACCAGGGCGCCTGGGCCACCAGCCTCAGCTTCCAGGGCCTGGAACCTGAGTTGCAGGTGCCCACACGTGGGCAGGCCCACCAAGACACACAGGGAGCCGCAGTGTAGCCCCTGCCATGGGGCCCTGGCAACGGGGCCAAGCAGGAGGCTGCCCTGGAACTCTCCCCTGGGCCGTGGGCCTCAGCCCTCTGCACCTGTTGTTTTCGTGGGTGCCAATGCTCTTGCCTAACAACTATTTCAAAACCAAGGAAGCAAAAGGACAACAAGTGACACAGGTGGAAACAAGCCCTTTTGTGTTTGTGTGCTATCAGCAAGCGTATGCCTGTCCACCAGGCGCCACCCACGTGGCCTTTCACAGAGGTTTTCACAGTGAAGAGAACGTCTGGGCTCTGGATCTCCCAGGCTAGAGCTTCCCGCAGGCACCGTGAGGCCAGCGGGCTGGAGAGCCGAGGCCACAGACCAACCCTGAACATCTAAACCACCTCCCAGCCTCACGGGGTGAGCACCCCTGTAACCCCTGCATCTCAGGAAGCTGAGGCAGGAGGCTTGCAAGTTTGAGGTCAGCCTCAGCAACTTAGGGAGGTTCTGTCTCCAGATAAAAATAAAAACAAAAAGGGCTGGGGATGTAGTGCAGTGGTAAACCCCCCTGGGTTCAATCCCCAGTGCCAAAAACAAAACCCAGACCAAGTGTCCTACAGTCCAGACCAGAGCCCAGTTAGAAAGCAATGGGGGTGGGGGACTCGTTCCCCGTCCTCTGGAAACAGGACAGATGCCTTTCCGTACCTCCCCAGTGGGAGCAGGAGATCCCCTGGTCTCCCTGCAGGAGGAGACCCAGGCCACCCAGAAAGTCAGGGCAAGGTATGTGATGGGGGGGCGGGGGAGGGCGTTCCAGAAGCTGCCAGGCCTGAAGAGGGCGGGGCCAGGAGAGCACCTGGAGGCAGGCCTCACTAAACAGGAGTGGGCTCTGAACACCTGCAGGGAGGAGGAGGCAGAGGCCAGCCGACAGGGGGGCAGGGCGGGGCTGTGAGTCAGGCTGCAGGAGGGGCCGGAGGCGGGTTTATAGCAGTTGGCCGGCAGACCAACCCTGAACATCTAAACCACCTCCCAGCCTCATCTAAACCTCCCCTGCACCCGCTCAGGGACAGGCCAGAGAGCCGGGTTTATAGCAGCCAGGCAGCCCGGAGCACGGGAACGCCAGTCACTGGGCAGCATGCTGTGTGCCCTGCTTCTCCTGTCCAGCCTCCTGGGGCCCACCATGGCTGGCCCCATCTCGGGCCCCCGGGACTGTGCCAAGGGACCCGAGGTGTGGTGTCGTGACCTGCAGGCAGCTGCCAGGTGCGGGGCTCTGGGGCACTGCCAAACAGCTGTCTGGAGCAAGCCCACCACCAAGTCCCTGCCCTGTGACGTGTGCCAGGAAGTGGTGGCTGCTGCCGGCAACGGGCTGAACCCGGACGCCACTGCGTCCGACATCCTGGCCTCAATGATGAAGACCTGTGAGTGGCTTCCCAGCCAGGAGTCCTCAGCCTCATGCAAAGGGATGGTGGACGCCCACAGCACGGTCATCCTGAGCATGATCAGCAGAGACCTGGGCAGCTCTGCAGCCCAGGTGTGTACTGCGCTCACCCTCTGTGAGCCGCTGCAGAGGCGCCTGGACGCCCCAGGGGGACCAGGGGGACCACTCTCCCAGGAGGACACCTCCCAGGCAGTGGCCCCATTCATGGCCAACGGGGCCCTCAGCTTCCACCCTCCACAGAAACCTGGGGGTGCTGTGTGCCAAGAGTGTGTCCGGCTGGTCTCCCAGCTCCAGGATGCTCAGAGGTCCAACTTGACCTTGGCAGGGATGAACGTCCAGGGTCAGTGTGACTCCCTGGAGCCTGGCCTGGCTCTCCTCTGTAAGAGCTACATCTACCAGCTCTTTGTCCCTGCAGAGCAGACTCTGAGACTTCTCCCACCACAAGGGGTCTGCAGGAAGGGTGGCTTCTGTGAGGAGCCTGCCCACCAGCTGGCTCACATAGCTGCTGTGGACGGGGTCCCCTCCCTGGAACTGGGGCTGCCGAGGAGGAACGAGGTCCAGATGAAGTCAGGCCTGACCTGCGAGTTGTGCCTGGATGTGATCCAGAAGCTGGACCAGTGGCTGGTGACCAACAGCACCGAGGCCATGATCAGCCAGGCCCTGGAGCGAGTGTGCTCCCTAATGCCCGCCTCCATCCTCCAGGAGTGCATCACCTTGGTGGACACCTACAGCCCCTCCTTGGTGCAGATGGTGAGCAGAGTCACCCCAGAAAGAGTGTGCAAGGCCATCTGGCTCTGTAGCAGCCGCAGGCGGGCCAGGGCCGTCTCAGGGGCCCATGCTAAGGAGCCGTCCCTGCTGCTGAAAGAGGATGGTCAGGGCAGCTTCTGCAACGGGTGCAAAAGGCTGCTGGGTGTGTCTTCCCAAAACCTGGAGCTCAAGAGCACCAAGCGGGACATCCTGAAAGCCTTCAAGGGCGGCTGCCACATCCTGCCCCTGCCCTACATGGTGCAGTGCAGCCGCTTCGTCACCGAGTACGAGCCAGTGCTGATCGAGAGCCTCAAGGAGATGATGGACCCCGAGGCTGTGTGCAGGAAGATGGGGGCCTGCCACGCCTCCAGGGTCCCACTGCTGGGCACCGACCAGTGCGTCCTGGGCCCCAGCTTCTGGTGCAGCAGCCCAGAGGCCGCCGAGCTGTGCAACGCTGTAAGCCATTGCCAGCACCTCGTGTGGAAGGAAACGTCCTTCCACAGCAGGGAGCACCCGTGACCGTGGCTGCCAGAGCCCAAGAGCCTGTGACTGCTGGCCCCGGAGGCTTCTGCATCCCACAGGGACCCCAGGAGGTGGGTGCTGTCCCCATCTCCATTTCACAGATGAAAAACTGAGGCTCTGAGGAGGGGCTGGGAGGGGCAGGCTGAAAGACAAAGCCAGATATTGGTGACCCCGAGGAGCTGCCTGAAGGTCTCTGCCCTGTGACTCAGTGCACAGGACAAAGTGCACCACCCAGCCAAGGCTGCCCTTGGGCGCCAAGCCGAGAAGCGCAGCAGGGGTTGTGGATGCCCCTCGGGCCCCAGGAGCCACGGCGGGAGGTGGAGGGAAGGTGGTGGGCTCACTAGTCAGACTGGGCCTCCCGTGCAGAGCTCAGTGTGGGACTGGGTCTCAGCCAGGCTACCTGGCTCGCCCAGCCACAGCTCAACCTGAGGTCGCTGGGGTGGTCCCCCAGGGACTGTGAGGTGCCAGCATCTCTGCACTCCCTGGGGGATGCCTGGACCCAGAGCCATCCTTCCAATGTCCCCACCCACCTTGGGACCCTGTCCTCTCACTCAGAGCTCAGCCTCCCTGGGGCTGGGCAGAAGTCTTGGGGTGTGCTCAAAATCGGGAGAGCAATGCATGCTGGGTAGAGCCCAGGAATAGCCCCCGTGGGTTCGGGGTGGCTGTTGGAGGACGCCCTCTGGAGCCTCAGTCTTCAGATCTGTAGATTGGGGTGGCCACACCCACCTCACAGGATCCTGAGACAATTCCAGGAGATGTCCTCAAGCCCCTTCCCAGAGGCCGGCCCCGCAGGTCTGCGGGGACCAGCTAAACCTGTCAGGGGCCAGTGGGAGCCTGGGGAAGTGGCTGTGCAGATGCTGTATAAACTGGGAGCATTCTCCAAATGCGGTCTGCGGGCTTGGTCTTGTTGGTGGTGCCGGGCGGAACGCAGGGCCTGGCCCAGCGGGCAGATGCTCTAGCACTGAGCTGTGCTCCAGCCCGGGGTCTGCTACCTCAGTTCTCGTGAGAGGCGTGGCCCTGGGCTGCAAAGCCCTTCCTCCTCAGCTTCGGCAGGTGTCCCTCCAGCAGGAGTGTCCCTCCCCCAGGCTCAGCCTGCTCAGGCCCTGCTGCAGTCCCCTCCCCCGGTGAGGTCTCCCCCGGAGAACAGGGCATGACACCTGCTCTGTCCTCAAGCCCCACGCAGGGCCGTGTGCAGTAGGTGCTCAAACATCCGGGGCCCACACAGGAGTAGAAGTGGCCACTCCCCATGCAGCCTGGGTCAGGGAGGCCACTCAGATGAACTTGCTCCAACCAGAGTGCTGGCCCGGCATGAGCGGGTGGACCCTCCTGAGAGGCCAAGGTTAGGCGACCATCTCCAACCCAGGCCATGGCTCCAGGGACACAGGCACGGCTGGCCAGAATTTCTGGGCTCCTCCACCCTGGCCGCTGTTGGCTGGGCGAGCCTGGGCACACCAGGTGGCCCCAGAAGGTGATCACACTTGGGAAGCAGCCTGTGTCAGAGCTGAAAACACAGGCACCTGACATCACCGACACACTGTCCCCGTCCCGCAGCCCACCACCTCCCCAGGCTCTCCGCTGGCGTGTGTCCCCACCAGACCTGCTCCTCAGGGACAGGTCAAGCCTGTGCCTCTATTCTAGCCTGGGACCCTGGCTGACATTCCTGGTGACATGTCATGGCTTCCGGACCTGATGCTTCCCCAGAGACATTGCAGCCACACAGGGCAGCCAGAGGCAGGCACAGGGAAAAACCACGTCCTGGGTGACCATCTAGACGGTGGGCAGTCAGGGCAGGGTCTCTCCTGCCCTTTCCTCTGGCCTTCCCCCTGGGCCTGGGTGCCTGCTGACCAAGTGTGTCCCCACAGGTCCCTTGTCCACAAAGCATGTCATGGTGCCCAGTTGGCAACAATTCTACAGGGCCACGCCCACCCAGGGCTGGCCGGGACCTGGGTCCTGAGCACCGCACAGGTCCCATTCCAGGCACAGGGGCCCCACTTAATGTCCTTACTCTCCTATCTTCATTTGTCCCACACCAAAGCCAAGGAGATCCAGGGTGGCATCTTGCTCAGTCCCTGTGACCTCACTCAGCTCAAAGCCAAGGCCCCCACCTCTGGCTGCACTGCCTGCCGGGGACCCCCTGGGCCTGGCTCCAGGTCCCTCTGCTGCCCCACCCCCTGCAGAGCCTCCTCAGCTGCCCCTCGGGAGGCACTCTGGATGCCCAGACCCCCATCTCTCCTGCCCCTGCCTTCCTCTCCAGCCCTTAACACCTAGGACACTGTTCATGTGCCCCCAACTCTCCCCCAAGCTTGTCCTGCAGGAGGGGAGGGATTATTCCAAGGTCCCTGCCATATTCCCGTCACCTAGAGCAGAGCTGGCTCAGAACAGGGACCAGGACAAGGAGAAGTACCGAGCCCTGCCACTTCAGAATGTTTCAGACAAAACCTCCCCCTGGTCTGTCCTGAAGGGCACAGATGGCAGCACCAGGCGCCACCCAGGGCTGTGTGCAGTGAGGAGCTGCTCTGGGGGGGCCTCCAGGTATGAAGATCCCCATAGACAAAACAAATCAGTCCCACCTGGCTCCAGTGACCTTCCCGGGACGCTGTGCAAACCAAGGGCACGCTCCTCAGTCTGCAGCAGGACGGGTGTGCCAGGGACCCCGAAGCAGACCTCAGCGCGAGGGTCCTGCCCCTCTCCAGCAGTGACCCAGCCTGTCCATCCCACCCCCATGGTGGTCGGCGGTCAAAGGCAGCTCCTGTGGGGTCCCTGGATCACGGGCACACCTCCAGCTCCTCGCCCTCCCCACATGGTCCCCTCTTGTCCTGACTGCCTCACCCCACTCCTAATGAAGCCCAGAGTCGGGTGGGGGCCAGGAGACCAGACCCCTGGCTGGAGTGTCCAGTCTCCGACTCTCTGGGTCCAGAGGGCCTCCACATCTGCATTTGCTGTGGTGCCGAGGACACAGGGAATCCAGCCTTGAGGACTGCGCTCCTGGACCCCAGGACCCAGGTGCCCTGGACAGCCCACGCACAGCTGTCCTGGGAGTCCATCTGCACCCTGAGGCTGAAGGGGCGTCCCTTTGGGCCACAACTGGAGGGGTGGGCGGCTCCTGGTGTCTCTCGGGGCCTCTCCTCTTCCCCACTGCTTGAGATGGGGAGAAGGGATCTGCTCTTCTCTGATCACAGCCTCCCCTCCTGGAAGTAGCACCGCACACGTGGACGACGCAGGACCTAATGACAGCCCAGGAGCTGCCCTCAGAACTGGCAGGCTCCTGGGAAGGTGCCTTTGGAGCCGGGCTGGAGCCAGGCGGTCCCCTGGCGGCAAGGCCACAAACCCCAGCAGGTTCTCCCCCTGGCTCAGGGCTGCCACTGCCCCTGCCCCATGATGTCCTCCAGAGTGTGGGGAAGAGCAGCCTCCACCCAGGGCCCCCCCAGGAGAGCGCAGCCTGTGGGCGGCCACGCCTCCCTCGCTCCCTGCTCCCGCTCCCGTGGAGCACCGCGGCCACAGGAGCCTTCCAAGGTGTTCTTGGGGGGAACTAGGCCAACAATGACAAGCCCTGGTGGCTGAAACCTCAGCACCACATTCTGTCCCCCCTGAGGCCCATGGGGAGGGAGCCTGCATGCCTCATGGACGCCTGGCCCTGGGGCCCCCCAAGGACTGGCCCACGATCCTCAGGGACCTGTTTCCCTCCCAGATTAGACTGGACCAGACAGGCCCAGAACTTGCACAATGCCAGAACTGGGCCCCTCCTGTGGCCGGTCCCAGCCCCAGCCCCGTGGCCTGCAAGAATGCTGGCCATGCTGTCCCTCCCAATTTCTCCAGCAAGGTCAGAAGCCCAGGCTGCTGCCCCGCGCGAGTCTTCGCAATTCCTAAACACTGACGGTCTCATGAGTTATCTTGAGTCCTCTGCTGGCCAGGCCAAACCTGTCTGAAGACCGGGCTGGGGCCCCCTCGAGCCAGAGAGCCCTGTTGAGGAGGACAGCCATGGCCTGGCCTCCTGACAAGGACATGGCAGTCCCGAAGCCTTGATGCTTCTTCCTGAAGCCACGACCCACCCAAGGAAGGGACGGGAGTCACTGTGGAGCTGATTCCCAACCTGGGGTCGGGGGGAGTCACTAGAACTGGAAATGACTCCCACTGGGCGTCACTGCAAACTAGAGGGGAAGCCCCCACTCCCACCCCTCGAGCTGATGTTCCCAAGGACACGAGGGGCCAGAAGCCACAAACAGCAGGGAATCGGGCTCTTCCATGGTGGACCCCACACAACCCTTCATCTGGGGTCTCAAGAGGGAAGCCCATGGAGACAAGAAGTCAGGCCATCCCTGGGGGACTCCAGAGCCAATAGTCACCCCATGGCAATCAGGGGACAGGGTTCTGGGACACACAACTCAACTGAAACTCCAGAGCTCCTGAAGAACAGCACTGTCCCAAATGTCACACTCTGGAACGTGAAAGAATGAGGACAGCCCTAGGGAGGCGGCCTGGGCACCAGCACCCCTGGAAGAGGCACACCCAGGTCCCTGAGCTGGGCCCATGGGTGGCACCAGGCTGTGGGAGGCCAGAGCCAGCTCCCCACCCAGAGCAGCACCCACGCCAGCACCGGGAGCAGAGGTGGGGAGCACAGAGCACCACAGAGGCCGTGGGGTCGGGGTCCCTCACACTCCCCGTGGCTGGTGGGAGCCTGTCGGTGGTGACAGCTGGTGGGCAGATGTGTGGGGCTCAGGCATGCAGAATGCCGGCTGGCGGGGACAACCAAGCCATTGGGTCCTCTGCCAAGACCCTCCTGAGAGGAGCCCCACCCGCACAGGGGCTCTGGGCAGAGGAGCCGCGGGAGCGCCCTGCCACCTAGCAGAGGTGGGTACCGTGCACCAGGAGGTGGGACCAGAAGGAGGGGCTGCAACCAGTGCGCAAGGTGACTGTGGGCAGACTGCCAGACCACTCCAGCGGTGTTCTCCTCTCCCAGAGCAGAGGACTGGGTCAGCTGGACCCCAGCTCAGACCAAG